CTACTTGAACTTGGATTTGGAGCTCAGAAATTCAAGTACTGGAATATGCCTACCTTGAAAATCAGACATTTACTCAATTTGGTGCATGAAAAGTCCTTGTAATTATTGTAGCCAACTTATAAGTTCTCCTGATCCCTTATAATTTTCTGTGATTTCATTTTTTATCATTTTTTGTGAGAGATGTGGCCACTTACGTTTGTTTCCTGGCGCTTCAATTGAGCGGTGTTGCGCTACTCTTTTGCAGTAAAACCACGTGCGGTTATAATGAGGACGACAACATCTAATGCTGGCTTCAACTTGGCTTTCCATACAAATTCTTCCATTACAAAAGGAACCTGGTTTTTGGTCGCTTTCTCATTATGAAAACAGCGATGGCCATATAGGCTACAGAAAAATCGCAATGCATGCATCCAATTTATTTAGTCAGGCAAGTCCACATTATTTTCACATATTTTAGAATGTAATAATAATTTGAATATCAATGCCTAAAAAAATGCTTTTTTCTTAAAGTGGTATTGCCCAACTTCTTTTTGGACACTTTCTTTTTTTTTGGGGGGGGGGGGGGGGGGGGTCTATATTAGGCCCTATATCAGTGGAGGCTGGTAGGAGGAGCTATAGGAGGACATGCTCATTGTAATGGCTGAAATGGAATAAATGGAATGGAGTCAAATATGTGGTTTACACATATTTGATGTGTTTGATACTGTTCCAATTATCCCATTCCGGCCATTACAATGAGCCTATCCTCCTATAGCTCCTCCCACCAGCCTCCTCTGCCATAAATGTACAATTATATAAATTATACAATTGTAATACATTGAGGTCCTTGAAAATTACAATGAAGTGCTTGAAAAAGTCCCTGAAAGTCCATGTATTTGACTTGCCAATGTCTGTATGAACCCTGCTTAAAGGATAAATAGTCCTAGGCCTATGTTGTGGTAAAAGCGGTTAGTCCCATGTAGCTCAGTTGGTAGAGCATGGCGTTGCAAACGCCAGGGTTGTGGGTTCGATTCCCCTGGGGGGCCAGTATGAAAATGTATGCACTCCCTAACTGTAAGTCGCTCTGGATAAGAGTGTCTGCTAAATGACTAAAATGTTATGGGCTAATTTGAATATATTCCTCTAAGTACACATGTGGAACTGCATGAAAATCATTTATAATTTTGGTCCCAATGTCACACATTGGCCCCATTATTTATAGAAAGACCCGTATACACTGAGCATACCAAACATTAGGAACACCTTCCTAATATTGAGTTGCACCATGTATTTTGGAAGATGAGACGTTGAGGATTAGCCTATAATAAATACCACTTTGATGTCATACAAGCAAGCCAAACACCCGTGAGTCCAAATGTGCACTTCACATCAAAACTCATGTCATATACAGTGTCAACGTTTATGATCACTATGTTTGATGTACAAGTTACAAGATGGCATGTCGTCATAACCTGGGTTGTTCTGAACAGAATGAGCCCGTTTATTGTGAAGAAAATTGGACACGGCACACGCACCTGAATGCACTCATGATTCCTTTCTATGCGCACCAAAATTACGATCTGTTTCTCTGAATTGCCTTGTGAAAGCCTAACAATGTAATATATTTTATAACTTAGCTTATTGTGTTGGCAATAGAACAAGCCTTCAAATCATGCCCACCAAACCCAGATTGCGATTTATAATGGACAGTTTTGGATTGCGTTAACAACAACAGTAATTGTGTGATGGCGGGGATGCAGGGTTGTATTCCAAACAAAGTAACTACAAGTGTGCTTGCTCTAGTTCCTCAACGGCACAGCTAGGAGAACTCATAAAAGTACCTTATAGTTGAGGACTCTTCTTTGAGTCATAAAAGTGCATTGAAATTGCTTAGGAACTGTGCACACTATGGAGAGATGTGTGGCTACTTGGAGACACCAGTGAGTCCTCTCAATCAAACCCTTGTAATTATTTTGTCTAATGTTGCACCTAGCCCACATTTACCAGGAATAGTCTTATCGTGTTACTGAATGTATCCAGAGTATTTTCAGATTTTGTCATCAACAAATGCGGCGAAAACTACAGTAAAATGCACATAAAATCAACAGTGTAATGTTTGGATTCAGTCGTGTCAGGTGAACTGTTGTGTACTCATCTTTGGTCTAATAATTTTCCCATAATCTCCTAACTGTGCCTTTCAATCGCTAACATGGTTATGTATATGCTTTTCATATTTCTTCTGTAAGAAACATTTAAATTAAGCCCTATACATACAGTGAGGGAAAAAAGTATTTGATCTCCTGCTGATTTTGTACATTTGCCCACTGACAAAGACATGATCAGTCTGTAATTTTAATGCTAGATTTATTTGAACAGTGAAAGACAGAATAACAACAAAAAAATCCAGAAAAACGCATATCAACAATGTTATAAATTGATTTGCATTTTAATGAGGGAAATAAGTATTTGACCCCTCTGCAAAACATGACTTAGTACTTGGTGGCAAAACCCTTGTTGGCAATCACAGAGGTCAGACGTTTCTTGTAGTTGGCCACCAAGTTTGCACACATCTCAGGAGGGATTTTGTCCCACTCCTCTTTGCAGATCTTCTCCAAGTCATTAAGGTTTTGAGCCTGACGTTTGGCAACTCGAACCTTCAGCTCCCTCCACAGATTTTCTATGGGATTAAGGTCTGCAGACTGGCTAGGCCACTCCAGGACCTTAATGTGCTTCTTCTTGAGCCACTCCTTTGTTGCCTTGGCCGTGTGTTTTGGGTCATTGTCATGTTGGAATACCCATCCACGACCCATTTCCAATGCCCTGGCTGAGGGAAGGAGGTTCTCACCCAAGATTTGATGGTACATGGCCCTGTCCATCGTCCCTTTGATGCAGTGAAGTTGTCCTGTCCCCTTGGCAGAAAAACACCCCCAAAGCATAATGGTTCCACCTCCATGTTTGACGGTGGGGATGGTGTTCTTGGGGTCATAGGCAGCATTCCTCCTCCTCCAAACACGGCGAGTTAAGTTGATGCCAAAGAGCTCGATTTTGGTCTCATCTGACCACAACACTTTCACCCAGTTCTCCTCTGAATCATTCAGATGTTCATTGGCAAACTTCAGACGGGCATGTATATGTGCTTTCTTGAGCAGGGGGACCTTGCGGGCGCTGCAGGATTTCAGTCCTTCACGGCATAGTGTGTTACCAATTGTTTTCTTGGTGACTATGGTCGCAGCTGCCTTGATATCATTGACAAGAGCCTCCCGTGTAGTTCTGAGCTGATTCCTCACCGTTGTCATGATCATTGCAATTCCACGAGGTGAGATCTTGCATGGAGCCCCAGTCCGAGGGAGATTGACAGTTCTTTTGTGTTTCTTCCATTTGCGAATAATCGCACCAACTGTTGTCACCTTCTCACCAAGCTGCTTGGCGATGGTCTTGTAGCCCATTCCAGCCTTGTGTAGGTCTACAATCTTGACCTACATCCTTGGAGAGCTCTTTGGTCATGGCCATGGTGGAGAGTTTGGAATCTGATTGATTGATTGCTTCTGTGGACAGGTGTCTTTTATCCAGGTAACAAACTAAGATTAGGAGCACTCCCTTTAAGAGTGTGCTCCTAATCTCAGCTCGTTACCTGTATAAAAGACACCTGGGAGCCAGAAATCTTTCTGATTGAGAGGGAATCAAATACTTATTTCCCTCATTAAAATGCAAATCTATTTATAAAATTTTTGACATGCGTTTTTCTGGATTATTTTGTTGTTATTCTGTCTCTCACTGTTCAAACAAACCTACCATTAAAATTATAGACTGATAATTTCTTTGTCAGTGGGCAAACGTACAAAATCAGCAGGGGATCAAATACTTTTTGGAATTGGCACTGTACAGGCCAATTCCCAAATAAAGGGTTAATAGTTTTTTCATTTCTTTGCGAGCATGATAACTGTACTTTAAGTTTATGATTGACGCAGCGTGTTTGCCATTAGCCAATCGCCGTTTCTCAACGAGTTCAAAGCACGTGAAGGCATCCAACTCGTATTTACGACTTCACAACTGATAATTATCACCTTCCCACATGGTTATGAACACAGCACAAGGCCAACTTCGGATAGTTGATATCCCACTGGGCTGTGCACAATAACATGGGGACGAGGTTACAGAGAAAAAAGCTTCTGGGAATTTAGTGTAGGTCTATGCCTTTACTATTTGAAAATCATTAAGTCACAGCTATTCCCCTACAATGCAAGTAGCTTTATTAGAATAAGTCAAAATGGGGACTCTTCTCCAGTGCTAGTAATGGAATGATGTCTGCTAAGAAAATCATTGTCAATACTGGCAATGAAAGACATTCCATTAAATCACAACTCAGTATCTTTTCAACACAATTTTGTTTCATTTATTTCAACAATCTCAAGTGAATTGCAACAATCATACAAACAGTACAAAATAATTATTTCAGAAACAAGTGACAGGAATTTGTAAAATATATAGGTTATTACTGTCATTATTGAGCTGTCCTGTGGTACAATCTATTGTATGAATGTTGTCTTGAGGTGACAGGTGCATTTTGGTCATGTCTGTTGTTCATCTGTGAAATGAAATAAACATTAATCATGTCAGTAACATGCTGACAAATAACACTGGACAACAATTAAATACAGTGAGGATGTTGTGTGTGTGTGTGTGTGTGTACTGTTCACACCTGTTCTGAGGATCCAAATCATTGGTTCTCTCAACCAATGAAATTAATGACCACGAGGTGCAGGACAGTGTGGGCTAGTAAGAAATCTGCAAAGGCCCTCTCCTGGGAGATGGACAGGAAGTCTCCTTTGTTTTCTGGATTGATCTGGATACGCAGGCAGACTGTAGGCAGAGGGACCACAGAGAAGATTGGTTAACCAGAAACCATTACAACAATGGTTGCAGCCATTGATTATCTTCATGTTTCAGTGACGTACAATACTGCTGAATGTCACAATACTATGCAAAAAATGGACCGCTAAGTGTGTCAATTACCTCCCAGGATGAAGGCGCCAACACATGATATGAACCCGGCCAAGAAGCTGTTGAATGGGAAGGTGCCAACCAGCAAGCAGTACAGAAACTGCAATGCACCGGTTAGCAAGATGTAGAAAAGGTACGCGTCGACCACTTTCAATTTATTTGATGTTTTGGTCGTGTATTCCTCCAGGAACCGAGAAATAACTGAAATTACCGAGTTGGACATGTTTTCTTATGAACAAAAAGCCCCAAAAGGTGCAGAGAGAATCAAAATGTATATCGAATACGCTTCCGTCTGACGCGGCACAAAAATGACGTGTCACTGAAACTGGTGTAACAATAACAACATTCCCTCCTGCACATATAATCCACTGTACAGTAGTTCCATGTTACTAAACTTTGATTCTACGTGTTATTGATGTATATTAAACACTGACTATGTCCCTTTATGCCCTCTGTTTGCGATAACGATACAACCAAAGTAAGTTAGTGGAAATAATTAAGAAAAGTGAGCACTTTGGTTTGATAACAGTTTTGCATGGTAGACACTAAAGATTTAGTATTTTGTTTTTATGAATTGGTCAATTCTAGTGGCAAGTTGATTTATGCTGTTGATCATAAAGTGTGTGTATCTGTCCTCTCTGTAAGTCAGTATCTGGGTGGGGATGGTGGCCCTCATGGTGCCCAACCTCTATGACCATTCTGAAGAGCACAGAAGCCAATATCTAATTTGTCTGAAAGCATTTCAAAGGTACCCACTAGTCCTGACTTGACTATTTGATTTTGCCACATTGTATCACCTGTACTTCTTGTTGTCTCACCTCCCTGCCTCTCCTTTTCCGAGACTCAAAATGATCTGTGGGCTTGTTTTGTGTCCCTGCCCAATCAGGACCTTATCTGGACCCTAAATGTCACCAACAGGAACCAGTTAAATGCTCTGAAGCCTGGTACTGTCTCTCCCCTTCTCTATAGTGTTTTTGTCAGTCAGTACCAAAAACTCACTATTCCAGTGGAGTGGACATACTTTTTGTGGACATCCTTTTTGTACTACATTGAGTCCGCCTAACCATTTCCCTTTTCCTCCTCTCTTCCAGTTGCACAGACACCTCTTGTCGAAGGTGCATGGTATGGATTTGGGGGAGGGGTAGGGTTATGGATACGTAACCTAGACCCCCTCTGTTGCTCTCAACCACTCTTTATGTTTGACTTGCTGGGTTTCGGACGGAGCTCCAGACCCCAAATTCCCCATGGACTCAGCAATGGCTGAGGAGCAGTCAGTTAGCACTGAAGGCATGATCCTATTGGGTCACAGTCTGGGCGGCTAATTAGCAACATCCTATGCCATTCAATACCCTGAGAAGTTTACATTGACACACTCTTTAGTGGCTAATCTTTAGCTTTATGAAAAGCATATGAACTTGGAGTAACATGGCTCATTCTTCCTTTCCCTATCCAAGTCAGTCACCTGATTCTTGTTGACCCCTGGGGCTTCCAGCCCATGCCTGTGGATGCAACCTCAGGATCGACCAGACCAGGCTGCCCTTGCTGGGTAGAGGCCCTAATAGCCTTTTCCACTCTCTTCAACCCACTGGCATTGATCCGAGCCGCAGGACCTTGGGGTGAGAGGGGACTGGTTGTCTGGGTGGCATAGCCTGGGGTTCAGGGATGAAAGATAATATACAGTGAGGGAAAAAAAGTATTTGATCCCCTGCTGATTTTGTAAGTTTGCCCACTGACAAAGAAATGATCAGTCTATAATTTTAATGTTAGGTTTATTTGAACAGTGAGAGACAGAATAACAACAAAAAAATCCAGAAAAACGCATGTCAAAAATGTTATAAATTGATTTGCATTTTAATGAGGGAAATAAGTATTTGACCCCCTCTCAATCAGAAAGTTTTCTGACTCCCAGGTCTCTTTTTATACAGGTAACGAGCTGAGATTAGGAGCACACTTTTAAAGGGAGTGCTCCTAATCTCAGTTTGTTACCTGTATAAAAGACACCTGTCCACAGAAGCAATCAATCAATCAGATTCCAAACTCTCCACCATGGCCAAGACCAAAGAGCTCTCCAAGGATGTCCATGCAAGATCTCACCTCGTGGAGTTGCAATGATCATGAGAACGGTGAGGAATCAGCCCAGAACTACACGGGAGGATCTTGTCAATGATCTCAAGGCAGCTGGGACCATAGTCACCAAGAAAACAATTGGTAACACACTACACCGTGAAGGACTGAAATCCTGCAGCGCCCGCAAGGTCCCCCTGCTCAAGAAAGCACATATACAGGCCTGTCTGAAGTTTGCCAATGAACATCTGAATGATTCAGAGGAGAACTGGGTGAAAGTGTTGTGGTCAGATGAGACCAAAATCGAGCTCTTCGGCATCAACTCAACTCGCCGTGTTTGAAGGAGGAGGAATGCTGCCTATGACCCCAAGAACACCATCCCCACCGTCAAACATGGAGGTGGAAACATTATGCCTTGTGGGTGTTTTTCTGCTAAGGGGACAGGACAACTTCACTGCATCAAAGGGACGATGGACAGGGCCATGTACCATCAAATCTTGGGTGAGAACCTCCTTCCCTCAACTAGGGCATTGAAAATGGGTCGTGGATGGGTATTCCAGCATGATAATGACCCAAAACACACGGCCAAGGCAACAAAGGAGTGGCTCAAGAAGAAGCACATTAAGGTCCGGGAGTGGCCTAGCCAGTCTCCAGATCTTAATCCCATAGAAAATCTGTGGAGGGAGCTGAAGGTTCGAGTTGCCAAACGTCAGGCTCGAAACCTTAATGACTTGGAGAAGATCTGTAAAGAGGAGTGGGACAAAATCCCTCCTGAGATGTGTGCAAACCTGGTGGCCAACTACAAGAAACGTCTGACCTCTGTGATTGCCAACAAAGGTTTTGCCACCAAGTACTAAGTCATGTTTTGCAGAGGGGTCCAATACTTATTTCCCTCATTAAAATGCAAATCAATTTATAACATTTTTGACATGCGTTTTTCTGGATTTTGTTGTTGTTATTCTGTCTCTCACTGTTCAAATAAACCTACCATTAAAATTATAGACTGATCATGTCTTTGTCAGTGGGCAAACGTACAAAATCAGCAGGGGATCAAATACTTTTTTCCCCTCACTGTAGGTTAACTCTTTCTTTTGATCTTTCTGTTTTACTAATCCTTTTGTCTCCTTTTCACCCTAATTTTTACTACCCCAGCTCTCTTTCACAGGTCAAAAATTAGTTAACAGATTTAGTCCGGATTTCAATGGGACGTTTCAGGGCCTACTTGATAAAGACACTATAGACGGGTTGGCTGACATTGTCACGAAAATTATGCGCAAACATTGATGTGGCCGGAAGGTGTGCATTGTTATGATACTGAACAGTCATATATCTAGCAACAATGACAAGAAGCTGCCTTGTGGGGAATCGTAGGTGGTGCATTTCAGCTCATTGTATCTTGTTATTGATACCATGTCTTTTTTTTAGATGTTTTGGCTGATGTCATGTCTATGCTAATATAGCAAAAATTCACTAGCTAGCTAACCAACAACTGTAAGGATGTATTTGAGAGACAACAAGTGCTCATTGTGCAAATGTATTTGTTTTCAATAAACCTTTTGAAGACGAAATATAGTTTGGTGTTCAACCTTCCCAAGTTCACCCATGTCCCACCGCTCCGCCGCACACTCCACTGGCTTCCAGTCGAAGCTCACATTCACTACAAGACCATGGTACGTGTCTACGGAGCAGCAAGAGGAACTGGGAGACAGAGAAAAGCTTGGACTGGGCTGAGCGGGAGCTGCCCTCCCGTAGGGGTGGGAGGGCCAACAGACCAGCAGTTTATGCTCAAACCCTACACCCCAACCTTGAGCACTCCGTTCTGTCACTGCTGGTCTGTTGGCCCTCCCACCCCTACGGGAGGGCAGCTCCCGCTCAGCCCAGTCCAAGCTTTTCTCTGTCTCCCAGAAGCTAGGACCGCAGAGCCCCTGCCGATCTTCCGAAAACATCTGAAACCCTACCTCTTCAATGAGTATCTTAAATATTCCCACAGCACCCTTCCTCGCACCCCTCCTGATAAGATGCAGTGTAAAAGTTAACTATCACCCATAGTGGTAGGAGAAAAACGTGTAAATAAGAAATCATAGCCAAACGCATACTGACTTTTTTTTCTACCTTTATTTTAACAGGGAAGACATATTGAGACCTAGGTCTCTTCCAAATGTGCCCTGTATAATACAATACAAATATACACAAAAAATATATATACACTATCGTTCAAAAGTTTGGGGTCACTTAGAAATGACCTTGTTTTCGAAAGAAAAGCAATTTTTTTATCCATTAAAATAACATCAAATTGATCGGAAATACAGTGTAGACATTGTTAATGTTGTAAAGAAAACGCCATATCTCAGACTGGCCAATAAAAAGAAAAGATTAACATGGGCAGTCTGAGATATGGCTTTTTCTTTGCAACTCTGCCTAGAAGGTCAACATCCCGGAGTCACCTCTTCACTGTTGACGTTGAGACTGGTGTTTTGCGGGTACTATTTAATGAAGCTGCCAGTTGAGGACCTGTGAGGAGTCTGTTTCTCAAACTAGACACTCTAATGTATTTGTCCTCTTGCTCAGTTGTGCACCGGGGCCTCCCACTCCTCTTTCTATTCTGGTTAGAGCCAGTTTGCGCTGTTTTGTGAAGGGAGTAGTACACAGCGTTGTACAAGATCTTCAGTTTCTTGGTAATTTCTCGCATGGAATAGCCTTAATTTCTCAGAACAAGAATAGACTGACGAGTTTCAGAAGAAAGTTATTTGTTTCTGGCCAATTTGAGCCTGTAATCGAATCCACAATTGCTGATGCTCCAGATACTCAACTAGTCTCAAGAAGGCCAGTTTTATTGCTTCTTTAATCAGCACAACAGTTTTCAGCTGTGCTAACATAATTGCAAAAGGGTTTTCTAATGGTCAATTAGCCTTTTAAAATGATAAACTTGGATTAGCAAACACAACGTGCCATTGGAACACAGGGCTGATGGTTGCTGATAATGGGCCTCTACACCTTTGTAGATATTCCATTAAAATAGCCATTTACAACATTAACAATATCTACACTGTATTTCTGATCAATTTGATGCTATTTTATTGGACAAAAAAAATGTATATGTTCGTAGGTGGCTCGTGTATATATACAGTATATACACATTCAAAAACAAAAACACAGTCATGGTAAGCATAAATAAAACATTCACCAATCACCCAGAAAAACAGTTACATTCCTCCACAAATAAGTCCCAATTCAATACTTTAAATTGCCTGAAAGGCACCAGAACATCAAGATAAAATGTATTTGTATTTTGTTCCAGCAATACGGTGCATTAAAACTAACAGCAGGTTTACCCATCTCGGTGGAGACCCTAGGAACCTGAAGAGTTAACCAATCTTGTGAATGGGTTAGGCGACTCAGGTGTCTATACTTCAACAGCAAAGTTAGATAAGATGGAAGTTTATGATGTAGGGCTTTGTAAACAAAAAGGGAGTCATGTAGAGATCTACGGGTCTTTAGCGAAGTCCAGCCAACGTTTTGATACAGGATGCAGTGATGAGTATCAAAAACAACAAAACGAAGGGCACTATGGTAGGTGGCATCTAAAGGTTTAAGAATAGTAGCAGCAGCACTTTGATAAATAATATCACCATAATCAAGAACAGATAAAAGGGCTGACTGAATAATCTGCTTCCTACTGCTTAGAGAAAGGCACAATCTGTTTCTGTAGAAAAAGCCAACTTTAAATCTTAGCTTCTATACCAGCTCATCTATATGTTTTTTTAAATGTCAAATCTATATCAATCCAAATGCCTAAGTATTTATATGTGTGAACATGGTCGATTGGAGAACCATCTAATGAGTAAACATGTAGTTCATCTGAAACATTCCTACGAGAGTTTAAAAACATGTATTTCGTTTTAAATTAGCAAGGGATTCCTGCATAGCTATAACATCAGACTGTAGTTTTGACACAGCCAGATCAACAGTTGGGGCAATAGCATGCATAATAATATCATCCGCATATAAATGAAGTTGACAATTTTTAACAGATTGACCAATGGTGTTTATATACAGTGGGGAAAAAAAGTATTTAGTCAGCCACCAATTGTGCAAGTTCTCCCACTTAAAAAAATGAGAGAGGCCTGTAATTTTCATCATAGGTACACGTCAACTATGACAGACAAATTGAGAAAAGAAATCCAGAAAATCACATTGTAGGATTTTTAATGAATTTATTTGCAAATTATGGTGGAAAATAAGTATTTGGTCACCTACAAACAAGCAACATTTCTGGCTCTCACAGACCTGTAACTTCTTCTTTAAGAGGCTCCTCTGTCCTCCACTCGTTACCTGTATTAATGGCACCTGTTTGAACTTGTTATCAGTATAAAAGACACCTGTCCACAACCTCAAACAGTCACACTCCAAACTCCACTATGGCCAAGACCAAAGAGCTGTCAAAGGACACCAGAAACAAAATTGTAGACCTGCACCAGGCTGGGAAGACTGAATCTGCAATAGGTAAGCAGCTTGGTTTGAAGAAATCAACCGTGGGAGCAATTATTAGGA